AGCCCGACAATCAAAATGTCTTCGCTTTCAGGAAATCGGGGCTCCCCGGCTCGCATTTCAGATGCCCCGAGATCACGCCGAGATTGCTCGGAACTGATATGATGACCGAGCAGGGTGAGTGGCCAAGGGAGGGGGAGGAGAAGGCGGGTTTGAAAGGAGAAGGAAGGGGACAGTTGCGGCCTACATCTACACAGTCAAGAAAGCATTCAGGCCCCTGGCGTTTTTCTTCTTTTTTTTTTTTTCCTTCCACTGCAGAGGTGTTATCCTCCGGTCCCCCGGGCAGTATGCATGGCCGCTTCCATGACTCGCTTAGGTATTTCATTTACATGTATATCCAGATCTTGGCGGGCAGGAGATGGCCGGTACAGAAAAGAGTGACAGTCCGACGAACCGGGCTTCAGCAGCAGAGGCACCGCTTGCATAATCAGGCCACTGTTAACGGCCCTCTGGAAATCTGCCGCGACCACGTCCGGCCTGTTCAGTTACACCACGAGCACAGTGTAACACTAAGACGGATATTCTGCAGTGTATTCAAGTGGATTAAATTTTGTGATTATTCCGCTCGGCTGCGGTAGTTGGTTTTTTTTTTTCAAAAGTCCGATGGGAACACAGCTTAACATGTGTCCCTATGAGATCAATGCAGCCATGCTCACAAATTACAATCGAGTGCATCATACTGTGCTCCATGCTGCTGCTGTTTCCGAACATGTACAGTGTATACTGAAATGGTACTCCGCCTAACAAGAGAGACAGATGAAAATGTTCTCAGCGTACTGTTACGCTAATATCTACATGTTGTCATCAATTAAAAAATATGAACATCTGACGACTATCCAATATCCCCACAGGTACATTGTGCATGTAGGCTTAGGCAATTCAAGTCACGTTCCAACATTATCTAAATTCATTTCAAACTGCATCTCGGGGTCATGATTCCATTGAAAAGTGACTCCCAAAATATCTGAAAACATCAGTCAGGGACCACAATGCTTACCCCCGAGTACAGGTTTGTACACATTGTGAATGTTCATGTGCACATTCATGGACAGTGCGTGCATACATGTACGTACATGTACATGTACATACATTTACTGGTATACTGTATGTTTGTGGCTCCTCCTGAAGGGGTGCAGTTTCTTACTGAAGCATGACCAGCCATGACCTCCACAGATGTGTGGAATAATTATACTGAAACTGGGAGATTCAAGACTGCTGAGGTTTTACATATGTTTGGAAGTGTTAAATGTTGATCCTCAGAGGAAACTGGAATCGGTCCTAGTGGGTGAAGGGGGGGTGGGGTTGATTTCACAAAGTAGTGGAATCATAATGTCTCGCTCTTCATTCAAGTTGTGAGATCAATTCTTCCACCGGTTCAACCCAGCTTATTATATTGTATTCAGAGCATGTCGAGCCCTCCAGTGCTGAAAAAAAGAGACATTTTCTCGGAGTGACCTCTCTTCTCCTGTGTGCCCAGAAAATGTTTAGTTTCCTATAAATGGCATTAACAATGTAGACAGCAAGCTTGGGCACAAGGCCGCTTTTGTGTAAATTCTTTCGGGAGAACCACTCCTGCAGATTTACAGCAATACACGATTTGCATGACTTGGGTCATGGGATTGCATCCTTGGGGCATGTTCCTCACAGGAATGGAGCACGTGTAACCAGAACAATGCTCGGTGCCAATCCCTGAATCTTGTTTGTTGTTGCTGGGCCAAACGGTGCTCCCGTTAGGATGTACACCAGGGCAAATGCAAATGGAACACGAAAGAGATGAAAAATTGCAACTACATATACATGTACATGAAGACATGAGAGATATTCCATCAGTAAGCCTATGCATGAACCAAAGTGTTGCAGGTTAATGCACTGTAAATACACGTGCAATGTACGTATACAAATGTCTACGCCATACCCAGTTGAGCAAAACGTTGTGAAAACTGCACAGTATATTCTTGTATTTTTATGTGCAGGTTGGAATGTCTACTAACGGGAGCCAATGTTCAATTCCAACTCAAACAGAATGCAGCCTATTTTATCTTGTCTAATTCAGCATGACCTATGTAGTTGCATAAGTAAGGGGGTTGGCAGCATGCATGGTGAAGACAGGTATGGAGTCCTCGACTGGGACTGTGCACGTACCCAGCCTTGCCTGTTGGGACCAGTCGTAACGAGCGCGCTGCAGCTCGGCCCGCAGTAATTACAGCACAACCGCATGATGCGGATGTCACATCTACATGTACATCCCAAGTGAGTGACGCATGTACATGTGCATGTACGCATCTACGATAACAGTGTGAGCACGGGTCCCCCCGATGAACGGCCCCTTTCATTACCGGCCCTCGCGAGGAGGGCCGGTCTAAACCTGACTATTCCGGTAATTAATTTAGGGCTATTGATTGTTGGATTCTCTGAAGGGACAAGAAGGAAAAGAAACATTTAGGTGACGTGAATGGAACAAGGACAATCACGGGGAGACTTAATGGACAGTTGCACAAGGTTTGGAACACAGTTCACGTGGATAAATGGAACATTCACGGACTGTGACTGAATTTTAGGTTACAAATTCAAACCTGATACAAAGAACGTGTGTGTGTACGAATGGCACTCTGAATTACCCGGTATTTTAAATTCTTTTTTTTTTTCATCAGTAGAAAATACAGTTAGGCACTTTAACAGTCACAGGTTGTTAAAACTTACACAGTACATGTACACGTCCACAGTGAATTAACAAAAGACTTTAATAGGCGTTTCTCGTAATTAAAATTGGATGCCACGCGATCAACCTTGGCCGGAAAAAGACAAGTCAGCTTTTAATTAGGGATACATGTATTCAACTTGAAATTGTAGTATTCCAAACTGAACTCTCGCGCGGATGGTGTTCACGAGGTGGTCCACCGATACATGTACAAGTGCGTGTACCGGTACGGTGAACTGAACCACTACAGTGGGTAGGCATTCACCGCGTTCGGTGGACAAGCTCTTTCAACCAATAAGGGGGCCCTTCTGCTTGAAGGGGATACTGGCAACAAAATACTGCAATTACATACAGGTAGCAATAACCGCTTGGTTTTCAGAATTTTCTCTCACAATATAAGACTCACGAGACCATTCAACATGTACCATCAACGAGAAGAATACCGACTAGATGATGGAGAAAACCCTGGCTTTGAGAGAAGATACAAACACTGGCTATGATGTTCCTTTCTCAAGTGGACCGACCCAAGCATAAGTCTCCTTGAACGGTCACGGCAAGTTTGGCGCTGCCTTGATTTTGTGAAATTGGGACGTGAGCCCGAGGCTGTGAAAAATGCACTACAGTTCTGTAGAAGTGGGTAGAAGTCTTAACTATTTCTGTCAAGTATTCAATGAGGCCTCCACGGTCTGCTAACACTGACTAATTACACATTTGCTCATTGTAGCTCCTTCTGACTACGGTACAGGAGCCGGGTGCTGATAAGGTATGCTGACATTCTGGGATACATGTACAGAACTTGTTCCATGACCCTAACCCCCTAGGGTGTATGTAAAATCGTATTAAAATGGGAGGATTTGGGAGTGTTAGGGATAGAAGAAACGTACCAAGTCCCTTCATGTCTAACACAACACACTGCCAATCCATAGCCCCCCTCCCAAAAGGAGCTCTACATGTATCTTTTAATGAAAGGTAAATAATATTTGGTCTGTTTCATTTCCCTTCCGCCAGAAAACATGTAGAAAGCCCCCAAAATGAACAGTAGCCTCGTCCCTCAGAAAGGCCCAGATGGGCCAACGGTTACATGAAAAATTCCAAATGTTTCCCAAAATGGGTTATGGCTTCATCATTGCCAGTCCAGGCTGGTTTATACCGGTATTTCCAGGAAACATGAGCAGGTGTACGCGAAAAAAAAAAAATGGTGTCAGGCAAGCAGCACGCTGTGCATTGACTCTGCCATTTCTATGCTACACAGTTTTTAAAATCCACTTTTTGGGGAGGTTGCCACAATGCACTTTCCTGGAGCATGTCCAGGATGAAAAAAAAAAAAATTTAAAGACATTGATCTGCGCTTGGTGGCAGCTACTCTTCCTGTGATGTAGGTCGAACGAAAATCAGAACGCGACCAGGGGGAATCGAGGTCAAATCACGCTGTGCAATGCAGTGGCATTTCCCCTTGTCATTGGCTCGGCCTGGCCGCCTGCTCCCTGCAACCTTTGCAGACAGTGAATGTGCGGGGCTTGGGAACTGGCCAAAAGATTACAGGCAGATTACACAGCTTGGATATCCATTGGAAAGTGGGGGGGGAGAGGGAAAGGTCCCACATGGCATAATTTGTGATCGGGGAGACAGACAGACCGTTTGTGCTGACGTCAACCATGAGAAATGTGAAACAAGCATAAGGCAACAATCATCACGCTGAGTGATTTATACACTGCCCGTGTGGAGTACGCCCCACAGTGAACAAAATACAAACTATATCATCTACCAGTGCATGGAAATCTCACTGAATCTCAATGTCAGCTTAAATTGATATGCTCAAGAAACTGAGGTGACAAAATATCCTCGGCCTTCAGGCTGCTTTGTTAAGCTGAATGACTAACAAACATGTAGTTTAATACGAGAGAAAATGTTTGAAACATTAACCACTTCCTGCCGGGCGACCCATTTTCGAGTACATAGGCTTTATATGCAGAACTGGAGCCCGTAACTGTCATCTTTAGAGTAATGTCCAAAGAGTCCTTCATGTGGGTATAAACGGCCATTAAATGAAATGATGAATTTTTGAAGAATTTTGAAAACGGAAAATCTTGAAAAGGACCCGGGATTTTGTCTTGCTCAAGAAAAATCCACCTGGCAGCAAGTGGTTACCATGCATGTAGCACTCAGACAAGCAACGTACATGTACCGGTAATTTTAGATAACCAGTAGTAAGTCGAAGAGAAAGAGGTTCATCCAGTGGCAAGTCAGAGGTGCGTCATGATCTGTGTTTGTTTCAACCACCAATCTATACCAAAGCCACACTGACCTTCTGTGCTGAGTCCGGGGCTCGAGGTGAACTTGGCGACGTCCACAATTTTGACGGCAAACTGCTGGTTGGTCTCCCGGTGGATGCATCTCCGCACTTCGCTGAACGGCCCCCTGAAATAAACAGGAAAGGACATACGCCAGTCACGAACCGACCCAAACAAAGGACAGAATTTCATCGAATTGTGCACAAGACCAAAGGGGTTTCGTGCCGGCACCCGGCACACTACTGCAGTGGTTTTCAGTGTCTGTCAATAGTTCCTCTTCTTCATCATCGAGGGGTACCGGTACCAATGTGAAACCATGCCAGATGTCCATATCATGAGACGTACGAAGTGTAACTCTCTGCAAATTTCTGCATGATACGGATGGAAAAAGCTCCTGCCGAGGAGTCCTCCCCCCATCAGTCGTTTTGTGCATTCCTACAAGCTATGAGTAATTAGACGGCACAACTGTGCACAGGGGCTTGTAAAATCTGCTCTGGCAGTCTCAGGTTCGGGTCCGCAGTTACACGGAGCAGTTTTCGCCATACTGGTCCGCTGATCACAGCTGAGTAATTTACTGCTCCCAAGCACAAATGGATTCTACCGCGATTTATTCACAGACTGGAAGCAAGGCTTGCAAAGTAACGGCTGACCCGTGGTCCCAGAAAAATCTCCCGAATCATGAATGGACAACTAATGCTGAGGAATGTAATACTACGTTCTATGTACATGTATGTATACATTCATGTCTATTACAGTCCATTACGATAAGGGTGGGAAGTTACCACGTTTAAACGAAAAAAGTTCCACATCTGTTTACAGATCTTCCCAAACATTTAAACAGAACGGCCACCTTTTACAGGTTTGATGCTTTGATTGACACAATCTGGCATTCATTTTTATTGTAAACGATGCCTGTAAACTGTAATCCGGGTTTCGGAACACTTTACTGCTCGGTCATATCGAAGGAACACCATGAATTCATCACCAGCACTTTGAGTCAACTATTTACATGTATATGGCAGACAATTTGTTGTGTTCAAGTTTTCAGTGACACCGTGGTAAGGCTGGGACGTTACACATTTAAATGTTTAAACAGTATGGTAAACTTTCAAATTAAACGTAAATCCCCACCCTTCCATTACAGCAACACTGCAGTTTCCAAGATTGTTACAGTCTATTCATCAACCATGGTGAAAGTTGAATACAATACACCTGCTGGTACCAATATAATTGTAAATGCAATGTATGGAATTACTAGATGCGTATTCCACTTCTTTCTTTCTCATTTTCTACTGTGGAGTGACGGTATGTACATGTAAAACAGCCGGAGTCTCCAGACTGCCATCACCGAAACTGTATGAGGGGGCCTGCAGGCGCAAACTTGGCACCTATCAGTTTACCCTATGCGCTTGTTATGTCCCCCCTGCCGGATCTAAATTGCAGAGTGAAGGGGCTCTCTGTCTCAGCCACTTGGAAATTCAGTCATGCATGCAAGAGAGCCTCATTAATACTTTATTGTGGCAGTGGAGCCTTCAAAATTTGTTTATCAACAATGTGCATGTACATGTACATCTATATACATGTATGTGTCATCCGGCTATTGGATCTGAGCTGAATGTACCGGTTATCAAGGTCATGAACATGCACAGGTTGTACATGTATGCACCTACAGTACATGTACCTGGTTTGTGCTGTATGTACATGTAAGACATTTATGCATGTACACTACATGTGCCTGTGAATGTTTACCACCTAAAAATATCATGTAGTACCAGTATTTAACTGATTTCATGCAACAGTTATCTGAAATGCACGAGTGGCACACTTGTACACTCAGCACTGTGAGCATACAGTACATCTGAGTGAGGCAGTGGCTATGAAGTGTCCTCAACCTTTGTTTCCTCACCAGGGACAGATTTCATGGAGCTGCTGGAGACATTTGCTCAGCAACAAAGTACCAGCCAAAATTTATTGAGATATGAACTACGACCGGATGGTTTCCTGCCAACTTCTGCTTTGCACACAAACATGCTAACACCATTTCCCTACTTGGAAGGTCCATGGTCCATGACACTGGGACGTGGAAACAACACCAGCTAACGATTAAGTTTTCCGAAACAAACGAAATGTAACCAACGCAGAGCAAGGAAACAGATCTCCAATTCTTAAAGGCCTTGGGATCACTGCTCAGACTGCCAACTTGCAACAGAAATGCACGCAGTTGAGTTGAATATCAATTACAAGGAAAATCCTTCCGCATTATTGGACTTACTGCACACTGTGTTAGAGTGTTTGCATCACTGCCATCTTGCAGGCCAGTACTTTGGTCCAGTACTTTGTACCTGCAGAACAAAAGAACTGCCCTGCAAGATGGCTGTCATGCAAAGCCTCTACACATGTATACATGTACCAGTAGGCACCTCACTGAGAACTAGAAAAGGAAGTGCAGGCATGTACAGCTACAGGTACTGTAGCAAATAAAAGGGTCAAAAGAGACAACAAAAACAACAAATCAATCGCAGTACTGTACACTGTAAAAAAATAATGTAAACAGACACTGAGATTTCAGTGCAATGCACTTATATAGTTGTTTGTTTGTTTGTTTTTGTTTAATTTATTTATTACTCGGTACGTCAACTTAAATGGGGAAACATTGTACACGGTACATGTACAGTGTACTACATTTACAAGTAAAGCACCGGCATGTACAGTGTACATGTACATGTACCTAGAGTGTACTATAATCCAAACATTTTATGTACATGTATCATTGAATTATACGCAATGCCTGGTACAGCTTGACACCTGCTCCTCTCCTTTCTTCATTGCCTGCATACATGTACCAGTACATGTAATTATCTGATGATAAACCATGAGTCTGTGGCACACTCACCCAATCAAGGCTCATCATAAATGCAATCACTAGAGGAAGTCATTGATTGACACTTCATTCTCTGTCATAATTTATATACGACACACCGTAGTCAACTTGACACACCGTATTCAACTTGACGAGTCCGTGGGGCCAGTGCCTGGCCATTTAGGCATCAACCTCGGCAAACAAAGACCATGAGGGAGTCTGTGGATGCCAGGAGGCCTTTGGTAGCAAGGAAGGAGTGGTATCCCGTCTCCCTCCCCCCATGACTGGAGAGTCGACATGGCCATGTGTGCTTACTCATCACCTTTATGTACATGTACAGTACATGTACAGTACATGTACAGTACACCCACGTAAATGTAATTGCCAGTCAAGACAATGTTGGCAAGCAGTCTGGGCATTCCAATGACTCCTGTACAAAGGAGACTGCCCGTATGCATTAAGATGCCATTTTGAGTTCAAACACCGCATAAATGGACAACACGTGTTGTTTATCTGTCTGTTTACCATACTGTGTAATGGTACATGTGAGGAGGGTCTACATGTGCACGATCCTGTGCGTCAGAATTACTAAGTGTAGACATTTGGATGAAGAAACGATTCATGCACTGTATATACACGCACCAAGCCTGTGTATGCCTCATTATTTAACTTGATGAAAGAAGACCATGCAAACATGAAGTACCCTCTGAGCTGTAGCGTGCTGTTAGGTGCCGTAAATGAACCCCCACGTCTATTTCTACCTCCATGGTTAAACAGGACAATCAGGCATGTACGTGTAGTCCTAAGCCTCGAGGTTCAGTCTAAATCACGTACATGTACATGTACACTTTTACAAAATGCAAAGCAACAAAAGGTACCAGTATCGCTGTTATATATCCAGGTGGAGGAAAATTTCAGACCAAGATTTGCTCAGGAGATGCAATGGTAATGTCCATGTACAGTAAGCACAAATATCATTTAAAGACCAGTGGGACACGTTATGTGCAACTAAACTGACACATTCCTGATCCAAGGTTACCGTACATGTACCTCCTGGCCTTAAGCTCTCGGTTTGTAGAAGTGCAGATCTAGCTATCCAGAGTCAAGATTCTGGGCCACATGTACATGTATGTACATGTACTAGTATTACATGAATGTATGTGTGACTTTTGTGAAAGGCACTGACTTGTGGTTGGATTACTTTCACAGGTTATAGATGTCTGCATCACTGTAAGCCTCAGCCTCAAGATGCATATATCACCATAAGCCTCAGCCTCAAAATACATGCACCAATGTAAACCTAAGCCTCAAGACGCATGCATCACTGTAAGCCTCAGCCTCAAGATGCATACATCACCATAAGCCTCAGCCTCAAGATGCATGCATCACCATAAGCCTAAGCCTCAAGATACATGCATCACCGTGAGCCTAAACCTCAAGATTCATGCATCACTATAAGCCTGAGTCTCCAGACTTCCAGGAGCAGTGGTTTTTTGCCCAGGGTAGTACCACATTTCTGGACAGCAGGATGCTGTGATTTGCTAGGAAGCACCCCTAGTGGGGCCCAGCAGGGCCATGCTGGGCCCACAGGTTGCTTGGGACCTGTCATCCACTGCTAATTGCCTGTCATACTGGGTTTTTTTCCCCACTTAATAGACAGTGGAGTCCATTTCAGACTCTATGGATGACCTCTACCGGTACCAACAGCACTGTGCCTCAACATGAACACCATACTGTACATGTACAATCATAGGAATTCTACTTTAAAAATCCTCATAGTGGCAAAAAAGAATTCATCTCAACAACAGGAAATACTGAACAAGTACGAGTAGATATCTCATTTTAATTATACAAGATAATTTATTACCACTTAACTATTTTTTAAGATAACACACATACACCAGTACATGTACATGTAATGTAAACATTTCCATTGTAAATGGAAGAGTGGTCGATTTAACACGCCATTGTTTCCATTACATTTTACATATCTCCCCCGAGTACAATCACACATGTACATGTATGTGTACATGTATACAGTAATTATTTCAAGCCGCTTTACTCAATCCACCAGCTTGACTCATTCAATTTATAACCTGATCACACACCAAGTGTATTCTTGCACTGCATGTACATGTAGGCTGACTGTATTTTTAAAGTTAATCACAAAATGCCCTGGTATGGCACACGTACAATGCACATGTACAGGTTTATCGAAAACACAAGATACATGTAACAATTCTCTGATACATTTCTTGTCCAATCAA